TGGAGTTACCACTTGTCACGACTCATCAGATGATAGGATCTAACTAACCATTTCATGCTATGTAAATTATACTTTAAAAACAAATATTGAAAATAGGCTGGATTAGAGAGAAACAGAGAAAGAGGCCTTGTACTAATGTGCTGGATTGGGGTGAGGAGGGAGGTTTTAGCTCTGGAAATTGGCTGGCAGGGCTGCCCTTTTCCATGATGATGAGCCTTCTGGGTTCTGGGAAAGATACTGAGTTTCTGTGTTTTGCATGTTGAGAGTCTGTTTGCTGTCCTGGGAAAGTTGTCTTGAAGGCAGTTGGAGTGATTGGATTTGCTTTCCGGATGACACTTTGCTAAAGATAAAGATTTGAGTGGTATCCTAATATTAATTGCAGCCAAGAATACATGCGATCACCCAAGAAGAGAAGTGGAGTTAAGAAGAGATCTGAGGCTGCCACTCAGATGAACTGGGCAGAGAGAATGGATGAAGGAAGAGGAGGAAGGAAAAGGAGCACCTGATTGTTCTGGGACCCCAGCAGAATAAAGTTCCTAGAAGAAAGGGATAGGCGGCCATTTCTGAGCCTCTGCTTAATCAGGTGCTCCCAGAACAGTCACGTGGGAGCAGAAGCAGTCTTAGGGGTTGGGACGTGACTTGTGGACGGTTTAGCAGCTTGATGTAGATGATTACTTGGTCCAGAACCCATATTTTAGAAGCAGGGAGAATATAAAGTAGGAAGGGGAGTAAAGCTACTTCTTACCATTCACTGGTGATTTCCAAGTTTGTTTTGCTCTAATGGGGTCTGAAAGATTTCTCACCACAGACACATTTCCCGAGAAATTGTTGAGTGCTTGGAAAATACTTCAGAAAGAAAATGAAAACAGACAAACAAAAATGGGATGGCATAAAATTAAATAGCTTTTCTGTAGCACTGTCCTCCCATTGTTCATTGATTTGCTCAAGCGGGCACCAGTAACGTCTCCATTGTGAGACTTGTTACTGTTTTTGGCATATTGAATACACCACAGGGGGCTTGCCACGGTTTGCCATGTGGGCGGGATACTCTTGGTAGCTTGCTGGGCTCTCCGAGAGGGATGGAAGAATCAAACCCTGGTCGGCTGCATGCAAGGCAAATGCCCTACCTGCTGTGCTATCGCTCCACCCAGCTTTTGTGTAGCAAAAGAAAATAGGGCAGAGCCAGAAAGAGAGTACAGGCGGTGTACCACTTTGCCTGTGGCAAGTACTAATTTGATATTTGGTATTGCATATGATCGTCTGATCACAGAGCCAGGAATAGCCCCCAAGCTCTGTAGAGTGTGGACCAACTCCCCAAAGAAATTTGGGCTAAAATAAAAAAAGGACACCCTACAGAATGGGTGAAAATGTTTGCACGGCATATATCACATAAAGGACTGGTATATATACGGCACTCACACAGCTGAACAGCACAGCAGAAAACCAGTAACCCACAAAAAATAGAGATGGACACTTCCCTAAGGAGACATATGGACGGCCAGGAATGCATATAAAAGTGATCATTGTCATTTATTATCAGAGAAACGCGAAGCAAAGTGACAGCGGGATATCTCACACTAGTGATTTTGACCTATAGAAAAAAAGAATGGAAATAATCAGTGTTAGTAGGGTTGTGGGGGAGAAAGGAAACCTCATTCATTGTTGGTGAGAATATCCTCTGGTTTATTCTCTGGAAAACATTATGGAAATTCCTCAGAAAAGAATAGAGCTTCCATAATTTCCAGTTATTCTCCTTCTGGTTATCAACCCCAAGAACACCAAAACTTTAACTTGAAAGACTGAAGCACACCTCTATCATTGCATTGCCAAGCAAGGTGTGGATACAGTTGTCCAATGACAGGTGAATGACTAAAGGAGATATGATATATATAAATACAATGGATATTATTCAGCAATGAGGCAGAATCTTGCAGTGCTGGATAACATTGGGTTGTCCTTGCTCTTGTGCAGGGAGCTTAGGTTTATTGAGTCACTCCTACAATGGTGCCCCTGAGGCACACCCAATTCATTGAGCACTAATAATCCTATATTGCTTTTCTCTTTCCTTTATGTCATTTGTATGGTTTCTTTAGCAATGTCCTTTTTTGTATAGAAACAGAAGACAGTTAATGCTATGCTTTGTAACATGGGATATTATAAGAGGTAAATTCACTCTGATTGTTTATTTTATTTTTTTTTTGAAGTAACAGATTTTATTTGGAGGCGTTTTTTCTACTCTGATTGTTTAAATGGATTAGTAGCTGAGGAAAGGAGAAGGCAGTGCACCCTGTATGGGATCCCGCCCTTGAGTGGATCTCCTAGTGATCTGGAGTGCTGAACCCTCAGATGAGATTTTGTCCTTGAGTCAATCCCCTGTAGGAATGGCTTTACCTCTATTTGTTGTTATGACAGTTTTCAACCCCATCTATGTGTACCCCAAACCTCCATGATTCCTATATAAAAGTGTGTTGTAAAGGGAAAGAGGGGAGGATGAGAAGTGAGACTTTGGAGACTTTGGGACTTAGAGGACTTTGAGGACTTTTGGGGACTTATGAGACTACATTGAGACAATGAGACGAAGAAGAAGATAACGGAGAGGACTTTGAGGTCTATGAGAAGACTAGGATGATGAGATTGTGATGACTGGGACTACAACCAAAACTGAGACTATGATTGTGCTGTAAGGGGAGGGGTCGGACTGCGCGAGGGAGGAGAGAGAAATAAAGAGACTACCAAACAGCCTGGGGCCTGGGCCCTGTTTCTCCGTTCTCTGGTCCTTCGTCAGTCCATTGCCACTGTCGTCCGGTCTGGGGAGGCAGCTCTTGACCACCGATGTGCCTCCACGCCTTTCCTTTGAAACTCACACTGCAGTTTGCTGATACTCAGATGGAACTGTAGGGCATCATATTAAGTAAGAAAAGTTAATGGGACAACAGATGCCAGATGATCTCGCTCATCTGTGGCATGCAGAGGAACAAAACAAGGGACTAGGAAGCATTGAATGGTCACAACCCTTCCTTTTTGATTATGGAACAGATTATTAAGTGATGGAAGGATGACGGTGGGAAAAGGGAAGAAGGGAACGGAAGTGACAAAGGACAGTTGTGAAGGTTTTTGGATGGTACCGAAATTGCAGTAACTATGCATCAATTAAATGTTGAATTACTGTAACCATGTTATCTGGACTGCAGTACTAATTGAAAACTGTTTTGGAATAAAATAAATGTTTGGAATAAAATAAAATCTCCATTGCATGAACAGGAGTTCTGTATCTAAACATAATGAGTATGCAGATGATGGTGAACAGAGAGGAAAAAGGAGACCAGCTCATGCTAAGGAAATATCTGAGAGAGAAGTGATTGCTTCAGGTTCCAGAGAGGTTCTGGGACTAGTTTCCTAATCTTCATGTTGGGTTCTCATGACTGCTCCACTCTGCACGTTTTCTAGAAGAGTCTTGGAACTATCTTTAGAAGCTTACTTTATTTTTTCAGCTGTGTGTGTGTGTGTGTGTGTGTGTGTGTGTGTGTGTGTGTGGCATACCCAGTGTTGCTCAGGGCTTACCCCTGGCTCTGCACTCAGGGATCACTCCAGGTGGGCTTGGAGCACCTGATGGGGTGCCAGGGATTGAATCTGAGTCAACTGCATGTTAGGCACATACCTTACTTGCTGTACTATCAGTCTGGCCTAATTTTTATGTTTTTGAGAGGACTGAAAAATGGAAAAATCCTCCTTAAGGAAATTTGTGTCAGCATGAACTTCTGGAAAATACCTGGTTGTGTTCTGTGGGCATGAACCTGTAACCTCTGTGAACTGTGAAAAAAGAGGGATTTTTTTTTTCTTTCTGAAAAGAGGTATTGTTTGGGGAATGAGTGCCATATCTGGAGTCTGATCTTCTGACATCCCTGTACCAAGGAGACTTTTCAGTTCCATGCTCTCTACTGAGAACATCCTGTTAATAATGATGTGAACTGGAAATATAGTTAACTTTTATCTCTCCCTTCTGACCAAAGCCTGCTTATGGTTCTTGTTTGCTTTTGCAGCAGTTGGGGGAGCTAGGAGAAGAATCAATAAAGAATCTAGAAGTCATGGAGCTTTGATCTGGCTTCCTCCCTTCTCTCTCTCTCTCTCTCTCTCTCTCTCTCTCTCTCTCTCTCTCTCTCTCTCTCTCTCGGGAGGCACATCCAGTGTTGCTCAGGTTCACTCCTGGCAGAGCTCAGGGGGCCACATGGGGAGCCAGGGATCTAGTACAGCTGGGCCGCGTGCAAGACAAGCGCACTACTTGCTGTGCAGTCTCTCCAGCCATCTCTTCTTAAATACTGTCAGTGGTGTTAGATGGCCTATCACAGCCCTGCTTCCTTGCCACTGACTTCCCCCATTCTCTGTCTTTCTCTGTTGGGCCAGAATAGTTCAGTTTCTGTCTTTGAAGAGCAAATTGAAACCATGGGAGAGGAAAAGAATGAACAGTACAGAGACTTAAGATGTCTTCTTGACTTCTGTTGCAAAAACAAGATATTGGATTTTAAAAAACGTGGTCGTAGCCGAGAAGATAGCTTAGAGGCCCCAGATGTGATCCCCAGCACCAGAGAGTTCCCCAGCGCCACTAGGAGTGACCCCCCCAAGCATCGCCTGGTGTGGTCCCCAAACCAAAAATTAATAGCAACACTCGTGAGTTGGGTGGAAGGATCCTAGGGATGCCTTCCTAGGACTTAGAAGGACTTTTGAGAGCAGACCTAGGTCAGGGCCAATGGTAGGCATGCTTGTAGCTAGCTGGGAATGGCAGCAGTGAGTGCTAGCACCAGGGAACATCCCCTTGCGCTGTTTCCTCTCTTGATTGGGCTCTCTTGACTCAGAAGCTTCTCTGCTTCTGCCTCCTCCTTTTCCTTGGACTCAGTGTTTCTAGGCCTCTGATGAGTTTGGCTGGCTCGGTCCCCGAGAGTTTGGCTTAATTATCATGTGGAATAATCTCTTATGTTCTCTGTTGTTTTCTGTTGTGTTTGTAGAGCTCTATGGGTTTGACGTGCTCATAGATTCTACTCTGAAGCCCTGGTTGTTGGAAGTGAATCTCTCTCCTTCTTTGGCCTGGTAAGTTGGATCCATCACCTGGAAATGGAGAAATCCTCAACTTAAAACACCTGCTTTTGGGTCTTGTCTTATGGCACTAGGACATGTTCACCCCTAGTTATTAAGTAAAGAGATCTGTAATTTCTGCGGTGGGAGGGCCCGTTTCGTTGTCCATATGGCACCTTGGCGTCTTGTCTTTCTAGTTAATTTGCAATTTACTTTTACTCTCTGTGGGCCTCTCAAGGGATGCTTTTTTTTTGTTTTCTTTTTTAAAAATCTCAGGTACTCTTTTTCATTAAAGCACAAAACAAAACTGTAATTGTTGTAAAGACTAAAGGAAAACATGAGGGCTTCTATTTTCTGTGTCACCAGAGGTTTATAAAGGCTCATCTATTATAAAACTAGACCTGGGCCCGTGGCCTGGACATGATATATCCATGTCTTGGTATTCATCCAAAATTAAAAACTTATTTTTTTTTTAACACAGTCTATTTTTTAAGAGACAGAAAGATACTTTTAATGCCAGGATTTTTTTTTTTTTTGCTTACATGCATATAGCAATAGGCAGAATTTCTGTTAGCTCTACTCTCCTCTGACCATCCAAAGACCCCTAGAAATTTATGCCAGAGACCACCCAGCTGCTGGGTATTTAGGGGTGGGAATGGTGGGCAAAGATCCTGGTAAGCAGTGGAAGCCAAATTGGCTCCTTTGTGGGGTGGGAGATGGGCTCACCCTCTGTAGGAAGACGGAGCGCTTGCTCTCACAAACACACCAGGTGCTGCGTTATACAATTCCCGAGTCGGAGTCTTGTGCACAGCATGTGCACGAGCACCAGAGGCAGTTCTGTGGATCGAGGAAGGTGTCGGGCTCATGGCCAGAGTGGCTGTGCCTACCACAGGGGCGCCTGCAGCCTCTGGCTCATGTTTATTTTTCCCATGGGTTCCTCCGGCATCACCTACGTTGTTAGTACTTACGTTAGTACTACGTTGTTAGTACTTACCCTCCCCCCCGCCCCATTGTTAGCCTGCCAATGTAAAATTCAGGCAAGAAAAATGCCTTCAAAGAAATACACAGGAACAGATTTTTTGTTTCCCTGCACGTGATGTGATTCAGCTATTTAAAAGAATCATTTTAATGATGGAACAGAGAGATAGTACAGGGTTAAAGCACTTGCCTTGCTTGCAGCTGACCCTGGTTTGATTCCTGGTACCACATATGGGTCCCTTGAGAGTGCCAAGAATGATCTCTGAGCACCAGTGGGTGTGGCCCCCAAAACAAACAGTGTAAATCATCCGAATGATTGAAATTTATAATTGGTAAGGAATCAGTATTTTTTATGTGTAAAACTTGAGTTGCACACGATCCTTAGAACTAAAAAGATGGCACTTTCGGGACACTGTACCTGCCTTTCATAGGATGGATCTCACACCAGGCTTCATATCTGGTACTTTTGCTCACACTTCATTCTCCCCAAAGAGTTGATGTACTTTTATGGGTTGTTTCTCATCAGCATTTGGAAGCCCTTTTATGTTGGGGTCCTTCAGGGGGCAAGTGATCTGTTAATCTACAGAATTATCCATTGTTCTGTTCTTTCTCTGTTCTGTTAGTGATGCACCTCTGGATCTAAAGATTAAAGCCAGTATGATTTCAGATATGTTCACTGTTGTAGGTGAGTAATCGTGTCTCTGAAAACTCAGATAAAAGTTAACCAGAACATCAGTTTTGTCAGACTCTATAGGTGTTGCCAACTGGCAGTTCCTAAGTCATGCTGAATGTTTTGTACTAAAAAAAAAAAAAAAAAGATATTTTCAGGCAAGTGTTTATGTGTTTCTGCTCCTCCTGGCTCCATCCTGTCCTGAGGCTGAACCACAAGTAGGGCTGAGAGCGGAGGAAGCGAGTTCAGCAAGGATCTGGAGAAAGTCTGTTTTCCTCTGACCTTGCTGCTGACAGCCCCAGAAAAGGCCTCCTGGAGTCCACACAGTCCTCTCTGGAGTCGTGAGAACTGGCTAATTTTGAAGTGGAGGGGGACGGTGGCATGTGCAGTGGGCTTATTGCTGTCCTTTAGATACCCTGAGAAGACACACTCGGATCAGGACTGCTGCCTTGTGGAGCCGCAAGTGCTATAAACTTAGCTACACACTCTCTTCAATGTGATTTTTTTTTGAAATTTTAATTTTTTAAGGAAATAAGTGAAGTTGCTCCAGGCCTTATTTTCTAAGCCATAGATAACCCAAGAGTCCTTTTTTTTTCTTTTTTTTGCTTTTTGGGTCACACCTGGTGATGCTCAGGGGTTATTCCTGGCTCATGCACTCAGGAATTGCTCCTGGCGGTGCTCAGGGGACCATATGGGGTGCTGGGAATCGAACCTGTGTCGGTCATGTTGGCTGCGTGCAAGGCAAACGCCCTACCGGCTGTGCTATCACTCCAGCCCCAAGAGCCCATTTTTAATGTTGTTTCTAGATAGCTTCAGAAGTTCCAGAAGTGGCTCCTTTAAAGTCTCCTTTACTACTGGAACCTCCTGATAAAATTATTTTCCAGGCCAGGAGGCTACACGGCACTTAGGGTGCACCCGACCTGGGTTCAGTACCTGTCTCCACAGGGTCCCCTGAGCATGGCCTGGGTCAGTGCTGGAGGTCTCTGACCCCATCAGAGTGGCCCGGGTACCCCTGGCACTGCAGGGCACGAGCAGCTTTGCTGCCTTGTCCCCTTGTGTTGCCTGCTGGCCCAATGGGTCCCTGACTTCCCGAGCACCTTTTGGGCTGTTCCCTCCAGCACCCTGCAAAGCAACCACATATTTTCAGTTACTTTGGGAAGCCACTTTAAAATACATATTTTTAACAATCATGTGTGGTTTTCTTGTTTGTTTTTTTTTTTTCTGTTTATTTGGGTCACACCCGGCCATGCTCAGGGCTTACTGTTGACTGTGTGCTCAGGTATTACTCCTGGCCGGGCTCTGGCGACCATATGGGATGCCGGGGATCAAACCTGGGTTGACCGCATGCAAGGCAAACACCCTACCTGCTGTACTATATCTCCAGCGCCATCACTGTGTGTGTGTGTGTGTGTGTGTGTGTGTGTGTGTGTGTGTGTTTTGTTGTTGTTAGTTTGATTTGGGGGCCGTACCTGGCGATACTGAAGAGTTTCTCCTGGTTTGGCAATCAGGGATCATTCCTGGCAGCCTTGGGGGAATTGAACCCAGCTCAGTTGCATGCAAGGCCAGCGCCCTACTCACTGTACTCTCTGGCCCCCATGTGCTTTTTAGTGATACTCTGCACGTTTGTTCTAGAGCTTATCAGAATTCTGCATCTCTCCATTTGAATTAGATTTCTGCTCTACTCCAGGGAAGGTGATTTCTCTGCAATATCTCGCTTTCTTTGCAGTCACAGTGGCTGGAAGCGCAATGCGTAGGGGCGGGCTGTGTTGTCCTCTGAAGAAGGACTCTCTGGTGTCTGTAATGATAGAGCTGAGCCGACACAGCCAAAGGAAAGGTTCAGCTCGCCCGCTGATTCCTCAGAAAATGGCAGATTTTAATGTTTCCCGTTGCTCATTCAGGATTTGTGTGCCAGGATCCTTCCCAGAGGACATCAGCTCGGCCACTGTATCCCACCTTTGAGGCCTCCAGGAGAAACCCTTTCCAGAAACCTCAGGTAAGCACATTGGGCAGCAGGGAGCTCCATGGCAGCATCCCAGCACACGGCAGCTGGTGGAACCAGGAAGCCGGAGCACTGTGGGTATGAGGTAACTGAGAGCAGGGGAATGGGGGCAGCCCAGGAGTGAGGCAGGGCCAGCTCCGGCTGGTCGAGAGCTTCTGCTTTCAGCGTCTTCAAGCACACCTCTGTGCTCCCCCCACCATTTCTCTTGGCTTCCTTTTTAATTATCTTTTCCTTCCCTCCCTCTTTAAAAATTATCTCTTTCCCCCCTTGACTGGATAGGCAGAGAGGGAGCCTGCACGTGCCTAGTTACTATAACGCTGGAGTTTTGATCTTCAGACGATTTTCGCAAAGAAAGATATTCAGTTATAATCATATCTTCTTTGCAACCGAGTCTCTTTTAAGACGGCCAGTGGTCATGAAGTGGGGAGTGATTTGAAATGAGTTCAGCCTAAAGAAACCTGGGCCTTTCTGAAACATTCTCTCTCTCTCTCTCTCTCTCTCTCTCACTCTCCCCCTCCCTCTCTTTCTCCCTCCCTCTCCCCCTCCCCCTTCTGTTCCTGTGCCCTTCATATTTCTTATCTAAAAGGAGTGATTGCCTTGCCTGCTCAGAAGTCCAAGATTGGTTCAGATGAAATCCGTCTCATGACCTTTACTTTCAGTTCCACTTGTTCTGGACTTGTTCTGTCACTTCCTTTTGCTTTCATCGAATTCATTGCTTTTAAATAGTCCCGTATTCCTCTGCACAACCAAACGCTCTCTGAAGGCAGAAACAGCTTTTCCATCGCCTTTTTTATTCCTCCTTCACCTCCACTTTAGCCTTCCATCCACTCGCCCCTTTCTCCCTCTCTCTGCCTCTCGCTTCTCTTCCTTTTGCTTGCTGGTTTCATTCAGAGCAGTACTGTTCCTTTCGCCAAGCTAGTCGGGTACCCTTTCACTCGTCTAGGGTGTGCTGACTTGGATGCCTGCGGGGGCTGCAGACAGGGAATGTGAACCAGCAGAGGGTTATGCTGCAGCTAAGAGTGTTGTCACTGTGGTGACCCTGCTGTTGTGTGCCTCAGATCAAGAGGGGCCACCCATTTTTGAATATGATCTTTATGAGGCACGAGCACAGGCCAAGTGTTGTGTGATCTCCCTTCTGTCAAGAGAAATCAGGTTTTGTTTGAAAATGTTGCTAACTAATTCAGCCGAAAAACACTTCCTGGCCAAACAACATGATTTTGAGCTGGAGTTAGTCTCTGGAATGCCTCTTGTGCGCTCTTGCTCTAGAGCCAGTCTCTCTAAGTTTGGATCGTGTGATTTGAACCAGGCGGTACTGTAGTTTATGGGGTTCCTCTGGGATTAGAAGCGGAAGCAAGCAGCAGCATCATAGTCAGTCTGTGCATCATCAGACATCAGGGTTTTCTTTAATTTTTAATAAGAAAAAGTAGAGGATTCACCTAGGTTTGCAAGGAAGACTGAATTTCGGTAGTCACAGTCCTTTGCAAATTTCTTTCTGTAGTATCTGTGGCAAAAACCACTGGATTGTACTGAAGGGTTGCGCATGGTTCTGTAGCATCGTGAACATCCCTCTAGGGGCAGCTGTATGACAGTCCTGTCTACTGGGCTCCTGAGCTTACCTGGGAACTTTTCCCGGCAGCTTCTTATTAATTGTTGTGACTCTAGTCACCTTTGATTTGCCTGATTGGGAGATCATGGCACATCTTTGACCCTAACACAACCTGCAGGGCCAAAGAACACACAGGGAACTGTGAGTCAGTTTCATGTGCTGTGGGGACTGTTTTTGGTGGAATCCATCCGCCAGGGTTTTGAGCACCTGTAGGGAGGCTGGTGCTCTCTGAGGTGATGGAAGCAACGAGGGTTGATGCAAGAGGAGAGAGTAGGACAGCGATGCTCGGCTCTTCCAGCCCTCAACTTAGGGCTTGCGCCTGTGGTCTGTGCTTGGCGATGGTTTTTCCTCTCACGATGTAGGAGATGGCAGATGCTGGCACATGACAAGTGGATGCGGGTTTATTCTTATTTTCTGTCTTTTGTAGCGTCCAGTCTCTGCACATTGTCAGTCAACAAATGCCAGACAGGTAAGTTCTATATCACTGGAGTCTTCATCTAAACTTATATTTCCATTCCCCAAGTGGAAAAACCTTGTTCTTTTGCTCTGTTGTGGCCCATATTTTATGGACCTGAGTTTTGAGCAGTTCAGTAACATCAAAGAGAATAAGGGAAAATGAGTACACAGAGGTCTTTTTGAGATGCAGATTTCTGAGTTCTCTCTTGATTATGCGATGGCTAGTTGGATTTAGGTGATGAGCAGGGCTTAGAGGTACTTCTGTCACTCTGATCAAAATGTCCCAGCATGGTATAGTTTACAGGTAGATTTTCTTTGATCCAGATGTCTTATGGAACTTGTTGTCAGTGGCTTAATATTGGAAATGTTTCCACAATTGGTATTTGGTTGAATTTGAATTTCTTAACAGATGCCAGTTCTTTCTTTCTCATTTGGGGGGCGTCGGGTCCCACACTCAGCAGTGCCCAGTACTCCTGGCTCTGAACCTAGGAATTACTCCTGACAGGTTCAGAGGATCATATGGGATGCCAAGGATCAAATCCAGATTGGCCATATGCAAGGCAAGTGCCCTACCCACTCTGGTCCCAGCAAATGACATTAACACAATTACAAAGTTGTTCATGATTGGGTTTTCAGCCCTACAATGTTCCAACATTCAGTGGTTCATCACTGCACGTTTCCCACTACCAGTGTCCCTTATTCCCCTCCAGGTACCTTCCCCCACAGCCTATCTCTATAGCAGAAATTTTTCTTTCCTCTCTTTCTTTCTTTTTAGGTATTGTGGTTTGCAATACAGGATACTAAAAGTTTAGTTGTGTATATAGCTCTACCTCCTTTCAGGATTCAGTTCTTGTCCAGAGTGATCACTGTCATAGTGTCACTTCTCTGTCCTAATTCCACTCCCCAACTTCCCTAGTCCTCCTCCTCCTCCTGGCCTGTTTTCTACGGTCTTTGTCTCATACTATGGTTTTGTTTGTTTGTTTGTTTGTTTGTTTTTTGGTATCCTGAAAATGAGTGCAGGTGAATTTCTTACATGCAGTGATTTGGTTTTATGAATTGTAAAAGCTGTTCTGGTCAGACGTTAGCTTTAACTTAAAGAAGAAATAGGGTCCAGGGAGACACTACAGTGGGTTAGTAACTTACCTAGCACCTCTTTCCCTTCCCCCGCCCCCACCCGCTGACCTGGGTTCAATCTCCAGGATCTCATATAGTCCCCTGAGCACCGCCACGAGTGATTCCTGAATGCAGGACCAGGAGTAACTATAAGCATCACTGGGTGTTGTCCCCAAACCAAAATAAAATAAAGACAGATTTTATCCTTACTGTGTAATGAATGGTCATCACCTTCTTACTGTTCTGGTTAGCAATATTTGACACTTAACTGTAGCTTTCTAGGTCATTTTTTAGGAGGTTGGAAGTGCTAGGCAGCTGTGTGGGTACTGCTGCTATTCGGTACTTTGATATGAAGGCTGGGGAGGGGGCCCATACATGAATGTGTTGCTCCTGACAGGTCTTTAGTGAAAAGCTCCAGAGTTTCTATTCTCACTTGTGTACCCTGATTTAGTTTCTGGTCAGCTTGGAAACTTGAACTACAGCTTGTTGTAGGTCTAATTTTTTCTTTCTTTTTCCCAAAGTTTGTTGAGGAAAGGGGCTTGCGGAAGAAAGGAGAAGGGACTGTATGTCTGACCACGTGGGAGGCAGCACGGAGGCAGGGCTGATTCCAGGAGGGAGGCCTGGTCAGGGCCGTCAGACTCGCACACTCGGCCTTCCAAGCATCTGCCAGTCCTGAGATTCTGCTCTCTGCTCCGGGCATGGGGTATGGCCTGCCGGTCTGCACCTGCCTGGTGGGTTCTCGGGTGGCATGAAGGCACTTGACTGGTTTAGCCACTATTGTTTTTTTTTTGGGGGGGGGGTCACACCTGGCAGTGCTCAGGGCTTACTCCTGATTCTGTGCTCAGGGATCACTCCTGCTGGAGCTGGGGGGACTACTGGGGGTGCTGGAGATCGAGCCTGTGCATGCAGTGCAACTGCCTTAGCCATTGTATTCCCTCTCCAGTTCCAGCCACTATTTTTTTTTTTTGATATTTTCATCCATTTTATTCTAAATGATTTTAGAAATGATTTTCAAATCTCAGTGGAAAATCTGTTGAGATTAGAATTATGTGAAGCATACAAATTACATTACAGATGATTGCATTATTTATTTATTTTTTAGTTTTTTTCTTTTTAAAATTTTTATTAGTGAGACACCATGAGGTACAGATGTAGACTTACAAATTTTTATGCTTGGGTTTCACTTATACAATGATCAAATACCCATCCCTCCACCAGTGCCCATTTCCCACCACCATGGATCCCAGTATCCCTCCCACCCCCTATCCTCCCATCCCACCCTGCCTCTGTGTCAGGGCATTCCCTTTTGTTCTCTCTCTCCTATTGGGTGTTGTGGTTTGTAAAAGAGGCAATGGGTGGCAATCATGTTTGGTCCGTAGTCTACTTTCAGCATGCTTCTGCCATCCTGGGAGGATCCTCCCAACATCCTTTATTTGGTTCTCCCTTCTTTATCTCCCAGCCACTATTTTTGATCAAGTTTTTTACATGATCTGTAGCTGAGCCTAAGAACATGGAGAACAGACTTAGTCATTGTCTTGTCTTGTGTCTCATATGTGGTGGTAACTCATTAATCTGGTTCCTTTATATGAGCCTTAGTGTTTCATCAATAGAATGAGAAACTCTGAAATATTATTTTATATTTTGCAAGCTCCCTAAGTGTGTTAGTTCCTCTTCATGACTGGGACAAACAAATACCCAAGGCTGTTGTCTTCAGAGCTGATGTTCTAAATCCTCCTTTAAAGAGAATATGAAAGGGATGACGTAATCCTCTTCTGAATTTAAGCCTCAGAAGTGCCTTTGGTATTGATTCTGTTCTTAGTTTCTCTTTCCCCTGTAAATTCATTTACATCCAGCCACACTGCTTGAATTGTCACAGGCTGCCGTGGCCCATGGGCCAGGGAGGCCTTTCTCTGGTATTTAACTTTCCTCACAGGACCTATGGTCTCTCTGACTCAGCTCCGCCAGCCTCATACATGCTGCATTCTTTGATCCCACTATTCTTCGCAGTTTCACTCTGTCACTGTTAACGAAGCTCTCCACTCTACAGAGGTTTCCTCAGAACCAGCTGATGGGGGCTGTGGGGCAGGAAAGAACATTTTCTGTTCCAACCTGTTAGTCATGTTCCCTTTTTCTCCTGCTGAGCCAGTTGTGTTCTTTACCTGTCATCACCTTTTAATGCATGATCGATCTCTTTGTGTGTTTTTCCCTTTCTTTGAATGCCTCTGATCCCAAACTTTCCTCACTAGCAATTATTTTGTGCTGGTCCAAGGCAGTGGCATCATTTTGTGGGAAACTTGAGAGCTCGCTGGAACTGGGCTCCATTTCGGACTCTGCTGAAAACTAGCTGGTAGCCAGTGGGCCCATGCCTTGATAAGGGCTCCTGCTCACGTCCCACATATGCCAGAGAAGATAAGAGTCGGTGCAGAGGGTGATGGTAACAAAGAAATGATGACGCATAAGCAAAGTACCTAGGATCACTCTGGACACATTGTTCCCCCTCAGAAGATTTGGCTCCTGGCACTTTTGAGTCTTGATTTTTTTTCTTCCATCATCAACATCTGATACTATTTTGCTGTTCATTTTTCTGTAATTGTATTTTATCACATTTGCCATCCTGTATCTGTTCCCATCCATTGTGTCTTCTGGAGAGTAATGTGATTTTAATTAACATTAACTCAACATTTATTTCAGAAACCACTTCCTAGCTTGATCCACTGCTTTATCACTAGCTTGATCACTGCTTGATCCTTTGCTTTATGTTACAGTCACCTTTTGGTTGGCATATTTTATTCCTTATGTCATGACATTAAGTTCTGATTGGAAATCTTATTTGGAAAGAATACTTTATGAATTTCTTTCAGTGACTTTTCTAAAATCTGAAGACATTAGTTTTATTATATTCCACCCTTTTTGTTATTTTCTTTTACAAATAAAAATTTTAAAGCATGTTTTAAAATAGAACTTTCCTAGAAGTCATATTACCATTCCTGCCAATGCTCAAGGGTTACTCCTGGCTCTGCACTCAGGAGTCACTCCTGGCGATACTCAGGGATTACTCCTGGCTCTGCGCTCAGGGATCATTCCTGGAGGTGCTCAGGGGACCACATAGGATCCCAGGGATTGAACCCGCGTCAAGGCAAATGCTGTACCTGATACACAGTTTCTCCAGCCCCCAAGGTTCAAGTTTGTACATATTAGAAAAGATAATGGTGCTGACGGTTTGAATGGATAGAAATGAAGGATATGAAAATGGAATCTTTGGTTTTGTTTTTCCTTTTTTGTAGCGTTCCCGTCCACTCTCTGCCAGTGATGCAGAAATGAAAAACCTGGTGTCTTCAGCCCGGGAGAAGGTTCCTGGAAAACTCGGTGGCTCTGTGCTTGGCCTGTCCATGGAGGAGGTAAAGCGATTTCAGACTTCTGTGAGTCAACACAGGATTCAGGGAAAACTGATGACTGAGTCATGACAAAATTAGAGCTTCCAGGAAGTAATGGGAAAAGGAAAGTTTAAGATGGAGAAATTTCTTCTCTGAAAGAAGCATCTTGAATGAAATTCTCTGGACACGGTTTTCTCTGTATGCATTGTAATTGTCTTCTCCTGTCCTGGTTTTGAGTTTTTAAAATGAGTGCTAATTTTATTTTCTCTTTCTCCATGTAGATCAAAGTTTTGCGGAGGGTGAAAGAAGAGAATGATCGGAGAGGTGGCTTTATTCGCATATTCCCTACATCAGAGACATGGGAAATATATGGGTGAGGTGACTACCTTTCTTTTATATTTTTCCCCAATCCATATGTCATGGCCATGTAGCCATTATTGCTCACCACATGGTACCTTTCCTATTGTGCCCCTTTTTATAATGGACACCCCATATTCATACCCAGTATTCATAGATGTGAATGTTTTCCACCCACAGAACTAGAACAATGACAGTAATTTAATGTAGATGTATTTTTTCCTCCCTTTTTCAGACCACCGGCTACCTTCCAGCTCACTAATCTGGGGTCAGCCCTTTCCTAGACTTGGTGTTGGAGTCGAAAAAAAAAAATCAAATTATTTTATCATCTGAATGTATGCTTATGCGATACTGTATTTCAGTTTTTTTTTTCCTTTTTTTTTTTGCTGGGGGAGGTACACCTGATGATGCTTAGGGCTTACTCCTGGTTGACTCAGGAATCACTTCTTGTCAGGCTTAGGGGACCACGAATTGAGCCTGGAAGGCAAGAAGGGACATGTAGGGACATGCTGTCTTATCTTTTCAGCCCAAATAATATATTTTTATTGTTTTTTTTTTTTTTTTTTTTGAGGCCGGTTGGGGGAATCACACCCAACTGTTTTCAGGATCACTCCTGGCAGGGCTCAAGGGGATCAGGGCTCATGGAGTGCCAGGATTGAGCCTGGGTGGACTGTGAGCAAGGCAAGTACCCTTCTCACTGTACTATCGCTCCAGCCCCTGATACATTATTTTAATCTTCATTTTACATGCAGTAAAATGCAGTACCCCTTTAGGATGGTGATGGGAGGCTTGGGCACCATACCTGGTGCAAGGGATCATTTGCTTGCATTGCATTGCAGATGCCTTAAACTCTGCACTCCCTCTCCAGCCCCAAAGGCACCTGTTAAAAAAAACAACAACAATAAAACTTGTATTGATTTTTCCATTGATTCATAATACTACACAAATTTCACGAGAACACATTGTGTGTGCATGCCTCAGTGCACCCACCATAGAATTCGAGTACCTGTCCCACTAACAGATTGGCTCCACCTGTCCCTCCATCTTTTTTTTTTTTTTTTTGCATTTGGGCCACATCTGACTTAATCCTGGCTCTGCATTCAGGAATTACTCCTATTGGGCTCAAGGGACCATCTGGGATGCTAGGGATTGAACCAGGGTTGGCTGTGTGGAATGCAAATGCCCTACCTGCTGGGGTATTGCTCTGCCCCCTGCTCGTTTTTTTTTGTTTTTTGTCTTTTTTGTCCACTGTCCCTTTCCCTCCAGTTACCACCATATCTTTATCAGGGTCTGAAACTTTTTTTGCTGTTGTAGTTTTTTGATTTTTTTGTTTGTTTGTTTGTTTATTTTCGGGGGGGGAGCATGGTTTGGGTCACTCAGCATTTCTCAAGGCTTACTGAGAGGGAATTAAAATGTTCATGGAAACAAATGAGAATGAGGATATGTCCTACCAGACATTGTCGGGTACAGTAAAAGTTCATTGCTATGAAGCATTCATCAGAAAGAAAGAAAGGACCCACATAAATAACTAGACTGCGTAACTTAGGAAAATGGGTAACAAAAGGAGTCCAAAGCAGCAGTAGGAAGAAAAATAAAGAAACGTAAAGTTGAGATTAATAAACTGGAATCCCCCTGAAAAATTCCAAAAAAATCAGTGAAACCAAGAGTTGGGTCCCCCCCCCTTTCTTTTTGGGTCATACCCGGTGATGCACAGGGGTTACTCCTGACAGTGCTCTGGAGACCAATATGGGATGCTGGGAATCGAACCCAGGTAGGCTGCATGCAAGGCAGACATCCTACCTGCTGTGCTATTGCTCCAGCCCCCAAGAGTTGGTTCTATGAAAAAAATAAACAAGATGGACAAACTGTTAGCAAGACTCACAAAGAGAGAAAGAGCGACCCCTAATAAATTGAATCAGAAATGAAAGAGGAGACATCACAACAGACACCACAGAAATTCAAAGGGATCATCAGTGGTTACTCTGATAATCTATATGTCATGAAACGAGAGAAACTGGAAGAAATGAATAAATTCCTGGACTCCTCTAACCTCCCAAGGCTGAATCAAGGTGATTTGGAATACCTGAATGCTTTTATTGAAATGGTAATCAAAAGTCTTCCCCCCAAAAGAAGCCCAGACCCAGATGGATTCACTAGTGAATTCTTTCAAACCTTTAAAGAGACCTATGGCCAATCCTTTTCAGGTGCTTCCAGGAATTAAAGAAACAAAAGCACTCCTAAACAGTTTCTGTGAAGCAGCCATCACCCTGAGGGGGAAAAAAAGAGAATTACAGGCCAATATCCTCAATGAACAAGAATGTAAAGATCCTCAACAAAATACTAGCAAATAGAATCCAACAATTGATCATAAAGATCATATAAAATCATATACCATGACCAAGTAGGATGCATTCCTGTAATGCAAGGATAATTTAACCTACGGAAATCAATCAACATAATACACCATATCAGTAAAAGAAAAAAAACTGAATGAGTATATCAATAGATGCAGAGAAAGCATTTGAAAAATCCAGCACCCATTCATAATAAAAATTCTCAACAAAATGGGAATTTGAAGGAACTTTCTCTGTATAGTCAAATCCATTTACCACAAGCCCACAGAAAACATTATACTCGATGGGTAAAAACTAAAAGCCTACCTTCTAAAATCAGACTCTCAATGGAAAAGCCATCTCCGAATGCAACAGTTATGTCTACCTAGGTCGAGAAGTCAACATGACGAATGACCTGGCACCTGAGTTGCGCAGGAGGAAGAGAGCAGTTTGGAACGTCTTCAGGAGCGTCGAAGAAATAGCTAAGAGGACGAAGAACCTCTGGCGCCAGGCACATCTCTTCGATTCCACTGTTCTTCCTGCATTAACATACGCCTCAGAGACCTGGACCCTAGGGAAACAGGATGAGAATGCTATTTGGGTCTCCCAAAGAAGAATTGAAAGAGCTATTCTTAGAGTCTCACGTTTCACTCAAATGAGAGAAAGAATCCGAAGTTCCGACCTCCATCAATGCTGTCTCGTTTGCCAAGGTGTCGAAAATCAGATGGGCTGGACATGTAATGAGATTTGGAGACAACTGCTGGACTAGAGCTGTTACCAACTGGATTCCACGGGACACCAAAAGACCGTGTGGCCGCCCACCTACAAGATTGTTAGACTTCTTCATCAAGACCCTGAACGATCGGTTTGAGGGTCTTCGTGTTCCTAGGATGAATGGATGCCATTGGGCTACACAAGCACGTGATAGGGACGAATGGAGACGTTACTTTCACCCGCTCGAGCAAATCCACGATTAATGGGAAGTCAGGTGATCAAGAGCCCCTCCACAGTTGTGCCTCAGGAAATCAAGTACCTCAAAGTCAACTTAACTAAAGAGGTGAAATACCTATACAAAAACCTACAAAGAGACTACTTCAAAAAATAAAAGAGGACATGAGGAAATGGAAATACATCTTCTGTTCGTGCATTGGGAAGACTAATATCAAAATGGCAATACTCCGCAAAACATTGTACAGATTTAGTACAATCCCTATAAGGACACAGATGTCATTTTTAAAAGAAATAGATCAAACACTTCTGAAATTCACATGAAACAATATTCCGTTCCCCGACCCTACCCCGCAAATAGCTAAAACATTTCTTTGGGAAAAGGTTATGGGGGGACATCATTTTCCCCAACTTCAAACTGTACCACAAAGTGGTAGTAATTAAAACAACATGGTATTGAAATAAAGACAGATCCTCGGATCAGTGGAATAGACTTGAATATCCTGAGAAAAACATTCAGATATATGATTAATTAATCTTTGATAAAGTAGCAAAAACTATGAAGTGGAGCAAGGAAAGTCTCTTCAACAGCTAATGCTGGGAAAACTGTAAAACTGGTCAGCTACATGCAAAAAATAAACCCAGACCCCCTTCTAACACCATGCACAAAAATATCAAATCAAATGGATTAAAAAACTTGGTATCAGACCTGAATCCACAGGGTGCAGAGAGGAAAACATAGTAGAACTCTCTGTGGCATTGAAGCTGCAGGCAACTTCAAGGATGGAAGTCCACTGGCCACGCAAGTTGAAGCAAACAAAGAAGCTTCTGCACTTCAAAGGAAATGATGACCAGAATATAAAGACAACCCACAGAATGGAAAAAATTATTTACCTGACACTCATCAGGTGTTAATACTAAAGATATATATGGCTCTTACAACAAAATACATCCAACCTTACCAAAAAATTGGGGAGGAAGAACAGAAACTTTCTCAAAGAAGAAATGCAAGTGGCCAAAAGGCACGTGAAAAAGTGCTCTACATCACAAATAATCAGGGAGATTTAAATCAAAACAAAATTGTATCATTTCAGTTTCACAGACTTCCACATAGAAAATAAACAAAACAAAACAGTGCTGATGTGGATGTGGGGCAAAGGGGATTCTTATTCACTGCGCTGGGAAATGCTAAGTGATCCAGGCTTTCAGGAAACCAGTATGGATATTCCTCAAAAATCTCGAAATTAAGCTTCCATATGACCTAGTAATACTGCACCTGGGAATATACCCTAGGGCCCAAAAATACAGTGCAGAAAAGCCATCGATGTTCACTGCAGCACTATTCACAACACCCAGAATCTGGAAACAACCCAAGTGCTCAAGAACGGATGTGTGGATAAAGAAACTATGGAACATTTGCATGGTGGATACTACACAGTTGTTAGGAAAAATAAAGACATGAACTTTGCTTATACTTGGATGGACATGGAGAGTATCAGGCTGAGTGAAAATGGAGAGGGACAAACAAAATGATTGCACTCATCTGTGGGATATAGAAAAAAAAATTGCATGTGAATAATACCCAAAGAGAGTAGAAATGCGGGTTAAGAGGACAGAAACATGGTAGGAAGCCTGCCACAAAAGGGGAGGAAGAGTGCATTTAAGACAGAGAAGAGACCACTGTGACAATGGTAGTTGGAAATAATCATTCTGGACATAAACTGAGTGCTGGAAG